GTTTTTTGATAAAATATATTACGAATTAATTAATCAAAATATATTACGAATACGTTATAATACTACTTATATTAGTTGATAAAGGTATAATTGAATTTTTAGGCCCATGGTTTTTTATTTATTTTTTCAAATTGGAGTAATAAATTACCATAATGCCTTTCCAGAACTCGATGAAAATGTGGGAAACCTCAGTCAGATCGGACGTCAGTCGAGCCAACCGCAGCACTACGAATGGGTATTTTCAACGCCGGCGATTTGCGGAGAAAGTGAGAGCTGGCAACTTCGTTCTGACTGGCATGACGGTCAAATCCAGTATCGAGGACGTGCTGCTGCCACTCGGCACACGACAATTTGTAGAGCTCTTCAGCCGCCTTCACCGCATGACCCGACACAAGCCCACGCGCAATCGAACTCCGCACTGATTCGCGCCGGACTTGGAGGATACGAAGGGCTCGTGGCGAAGTTGAAGTTGATTGTGGTGGCATTGGCTGGGAGAGTGACCCGAGGTAGACTCGCGAGGACTGTGGAATGCGTTATGTGGTCGCCGTGGAACGCATTGCTGTCAAACGACGATAGCTGGTGGAAATATGCTGTCAGTTCGACATCAACGAAGATGTAATCAAGCCGAGTCCTGCCGCGTGGCCCTGATAGGACCTTGGCGTCGGGATCTTTCATGCGCCATGCGTCCACGACATGTAGCGACGAGAGCCATTCACAACACTGGGCATTGCCAGCATTGTGGCGCGTATGGTACGACGTCGTGTCCAGCGTGGCGTCCATCGGGAAGTTCAGATCGCCGCCGACGATGTGACGACTGTTGGATTCGAAATCGCGGGGAATCGTCGCAAAAAAGGCAGCTCGGAGCTCTGCCTCAACTGGCGCGTAGACGTTGTGGAAGTAGATTGGGGCGTTGTCCCATTCGGCCCGCACGACGAGGTAGCGGTCGGGCACTCGGTGAGCCCAGAGCGGTCGAAGGGTTGTGAAACCCGGCATAGACAGGTGAAAGAACGTTGCAACGCCCATGCTGCGGTGGGGTTGGGGGCATGTGGACGACGTGCGATGGTCGTTCACAAAGAGTTGGTACTGTTTGTAGCCGACATGGTTGGTAATATGCCGGTGGATGGTGCGGAAGTGGTCTTGATTCTCGATTTTGGTTTCTTGAAAGAAGACACACGAAGTGATGTGTTTGCCGAGTGCAGCTGCGGGGGTGTCGTCGTGCAAGTTGAATCCGTTGAGGTTGCAGGTAGTGATGGAGACGGTAGAAGCGCCACCAAGAGTCGGTCGCCCAGCAAGCTTAGCCGTCCAGAGGTGTCGCCGTGTCCGTCCACAGCTCCTCCAGGTCTCCATGGATCAGGGCGTTCGTCAACAGATCAACCATTGGCGGTTTGGATGCCGCGATGTTCAGTGAGAATGACTGATCGAGCGTGACCATCTTGTCCAGATCACGCGTCCATCCCGCATACACGCTCGCGAAATCGTGCAGGGCGGTGTCTGCTGCGGGATCCCCCACTGCCGATCCCGACAGGCACGATGTATAGAAACGTTGGATCAGCACCTTGGTTGAAGACCAGATTTGTTCCCAATGGTGGATCGCATCAGTGCTTGGTGAGGCGTGGAGGATGAGAGGTAGCGAGAGCTACCTCTAGCGGGAATCGAAAAGTCTGGGCCCGCCAGAGTTGCGTTGAGGGCCGTATCGCTTGTGTAGAAAAGGAAGGGGCATGTACGCCAGCACGACTTCGGCGAGTGCGAAGATTACGTCGGTGTCGGTGCATTGGACACGGCACTCGTCCCTAATGTCGTCCGTCGTGTAATCCTCAAGAGTAGATGACCCCGCGAGAGCAGCGAAGTCGGCTTGGAGGGACTGAAGCGAAAAAGCATGGTGGAGTGTAATACGGTGCTAAGAGTTGGCCAAAAGGAAGAGCAGTCCCCCAGGCGACTCGCATCCAACGGCATAGCACTTGGAGGTGAACCAAGTGAAGCAGGGCAGGAGGTCCGGACGCGACTCAGCGAGCGCTGTGAGCTTGCGGCCAAACCGGATTGGGTGAGATTGCAGGTATTGGTGGATCTTGTAGGCGTCGCCGTCCTCAATCAGCTCGGCGAGATTAAACGCAATACTGGCATCGCCCACGATGCCAGAAGAGTCGAACGCAGCTCGCGCAGACGTTGCCTTCGCATCGAGGAGAGTACAGTGAACGAGGGAATTTAAGGCACACTTCAAGTCGAAGTTTGGACTCAATGTCGAGTTCTAATTGGTCAGCGAACTTCGAAGCTCAACATATATCTGGACCAATAAAAGTGACCGGATCGATGAAACATATAAAAATGCATAATACAATAAAATATGAAAACGGGTGCCTTGAAC